GGACACCGACGAGCCGATCCGAGCGTAGAGCGAGGTGACCGCGTTACAATCTAAACAGTAATATATAATTTAAAGAGAAATATTTATGTTTAAAATAAGAAAAACATGTGATAAGACTATCATTCTTTTTTTAGTTTAGTATTAAATACAAAATTATGGTAATTTCCTTAATTTTTATTACTATTTACTTTCTAAGAACATACTGTGCAATAGAAATACATGTAATATTGTGATATTAAACATAGTTGCTATGATATATGTTTATATTATTATTATATCTTGATATCTATATGTATGCAGTATTATTATTATTATTGTTAAGCATACTTGAATGATTGCATAGTACTGTTACATTCGCGATCACACGAAATATAATAACACAATTTTGTTTTTTTCATTATTATTTATTTAGTTTTAAAAACATGCTATGCAACAAAATTACACAATGTTAAATATATGATTTTTATGGTTCAAATAAATCATTACAAGTACAATTATATTACTGTGTTTTCGTAATATTTATGTTAGAAAAAACTGTATACACAAATATATACATATAAATTTAAAAACTATATTTAAATACTCTTTTTTCACGTTGGAATTAAATTATTGTAATGTCTGACATAAAAAATTTCTTTTTTCTTCACCTGCAACTCTATCATGATCTCTATAATCTTCTTCTAAATAATTTTCAATATTTTGAAATTCATCTACTTCTTCTAACAAATCAGGTAACTCATCTTTATGAAGAATACATAAATTATGTAACGTACAACAAGCTATAATAAATTTACAGCAACGTTGAACTGTATGAAAATCCAACCTAATCAATTGTCTGAATCGTGCTTTTAATAAACCAAAGGAATTCTCGATTTTTACTCGACAAACAGAAAATTTATAATTGAAATTCCGTTGCTTTTGTGTCAAATTTCCATAGTCTCTATAAGGAGTAATGAGGTATTTTTGTAAAGGGTAGGCAGCATCGCCTAATATATGCCATTCATTCCCGCATATATCTGGCAACATATGACTTATGAAAGATAAATTGAAAACACGTGCATCATGAATTTTACTAGGTGGCCCTGTAAAAACATCAAGAAATCTCTTTTTCGCATCACATATTGCTTGCAACGTCAAAGAAGGCATATCATGTCGATTTACGTATGTCAACTTTATTTTGTGAGCAGGTGTACGTATAGGAATGTAAGTACCATCTATACACCCGAGAATGCCAGGAAAATCATTGATCTGTAAAATTACAAATTTTTATTTTATACTTTTGATTACTTACTTTATTATTATTTTTGATATTAAAAGTGGTTGAGAAAGCGTTATTAATTCGTTTAAATTCTACTTATTGTTAAATAGTTTTTAATCATTATGCATGTACTAGCTATTCGACGAATAATAATTAAATAGAAAGATATCTTTGTAAGACATATAATTTAACTACAAAAAATCAATGGTATGTTTTCTAGAATCTAAAATGTTCTTGCTTCAAATATTTAATATATAATTCATAGAAATATTTGTTTTTTATTTACATTTTCAAATTGTTTCGAAATCTCTGCCTTTTCCTCAATTGTTTCAGGAAATTTTATGATGGACCCTGCTAAGTTATTTAAAAAATCCATAATATTGTCACAAACAAGATGAAATGTAGATTCTGCCATATTAAACCTGTTTGCTACAGCTCTAATAACACTTTTGTTACCTGCAAACCTTTAATGAAAACACTAATAAATAAATACTAACATTAAATAAATATATAAATATGTTTAATATGCATATTTTTTTATGGTTGATTCTTCTTTATAACATAGAAATAAATATATATAGATATATGTATGTATGTATGTATGTGTTTGTATATGTGTTTATGGTATATTTTTATGAAATGTGATATTTTATTACCACAAAAATGCCAACAATTTTGCATCATTTGATATTTTGCGATTATCATTAATAACATTTTGGCAAAAGTCCGATTCTTCATATAAATCTTTCAATTTAAAATATGTACTTCGTTGCAAACGAAAATTTCTCTGAAACTAAATATTATATGCAATTATAGTAGAAGTATAAAATCGTCTACAATATATA